TGAACTGTTATACAGTGTGAGACGGAACCGGTTTGCCAGCCATGTTTACGTTTGTCCAAATCAATTCCACGGTCTAGAGCTGACCTCAACTTCTGGCGCACATCATTCTAAATGTGGTCACCTTTGAACGCAAGCTTGATGTAGATGGATTTTTTACTGACGCTATGGGTTAGGTTACTTTTGGGAATGGTCTACTGTGAATATCTATAAACCTTTCTGGGTAACCATTATTTAGCAATGTTCTCCTTAGGAAATCCTCTTATTCTTTAAATATATCTGGAGAACATTGCCTCCACTCGTGGAATTGATTTGGACAAACTTAAACATGGCTGGCAAACCGGTTCCGTCTCACACACTGTATAACAGTTCACCAATTATCGCCCCGGAGGACGTGTGTTCGAATCCCACCACCACCGCCTGTCTTTCCCCATTATGTGTTGTATGGCAGCCCTTTGTTTGGCCGCTTGCCTCTTCCTGTATATACATACCCAATATGTATACTCAAAAAAAGAAGTAAAAATGATTAAATTTAGTAATCTTTGTATGTTTGTACACGTTCGTTCACCATGTGCTATATATGTACCGATTTGTTCTAAGTCAGCGAGTGAGAAGATTAAATGAAATGTTAACATCCTCGTGACATTTGTCTTCTTTCTGTATTGAAGAAATGGATAACTGGAACTCAATGCTTCAAACAAGATAGTAGATTACAGTGGTACTCTAATTTTGCTTATTCAGGTGTTATTTTACACAGTCTTGAGTAAATGCTGGTTTGCTCACTGACCTTTCCCATCAGTTTTGTTTGTATGATCGGCAACAAGAATTTCAAGTCTGCCGGACACCCAGGTCAAGTTTCACCATTGATGACAGTGTGGAACAAACGATTCACCCATTTTGCCATTCTTAGATAATCTTAAGAGGCTCACACGTCTCATCATATATACTATACTATATACAACTGAACAGTGTGTACATCAACCACAGTCACCAAGGGAAAATAGGTATGAACCAATGAAGTCAGTCAGATCTGGGCGAATGGACGCCGCAGTCTCATTCGCGTATCATCGGTTTCAAATCGAGTGAAATGCTTCCAACCTCAATTTATGCACTACTGAAACGTGCTTACTCTCGAATACAGCGTCTCGTCTACAATCCAGAACGAGTAAAGTCAAAAGGCAATAATCTATCGGATAATAATAACAGGGATAATAATTTTGTATTGAAAAAGATAAATAAATCGATCAGAGAACCTTTAACATCTTCAAAACACGAAGGTTACTCTGTTTGTTTGTCTTGTTCAGTTTTGTTTCCATTTTCCGTTTATCTGAATTTCTATTCAAGTGGCAACTGGTGAATGCATGAGTATATCTGGTGGTATGTTTGTTTTGGCCGGGCCCGTACGAGTTGAAGGAATTTCCAGAAGCCAATGAGAGAAAGAGCGGGAGCGCGTGTGTATATCTGTTCAGAGGGTAGGTGATCTAATCATAGACACTGCTAGTGACATGGCAAAGCTCATGGGGAAGAAGCCTCCAGGTTCCATGAAATGCGGGCCGCCTGGGAGGGGAGGAGAGAAAGAGCATGTTATTGACGGGGTCCAGAAGAGTTGGGAACTGGGTAGAGAATTCAGTGAGGACGAGGAGGCATACAAGGAGAGAGAAGGATAGAGAGAATGAGAAAAAGTCACCTGAACCCAGTATAACTCTGTGCGTGACGACTGCAGTCGCAATTGGGATATATGCACATATGTACAAACCCTATCGCGAGGGCATTGAGCCCGTGTTGCGATGGGTCATTCATAACAAAGCCTACATCAGTCTTTCGAAGCAGGAACAACCCATTCAAACTTGTGCTTCCTGGTCCCTGAAAAGTCACACATCTTTTCAGGTGACCGAGTAATCTTTTGGTTTATCTTTCTTTATCTCATTCACACACAAAATACAGCACAGCTGGCATAACGCATAAAGGCACCGGAATAGAACGCTCCGGGGTTCGCTCAGTCATTCGAACCGTGAGCGTTGGTCGAGGAAGAGGATTCTGTGTCGGAGCTGGGACGAGATTCGAATTTAGCTTTGACAAACTCCCTGGCCACCTCGTCCGTGTGCACGCGTTGAGATAGCACACGTAGCACAGTCCATCCGGTCTCCGTGAAGTGTAACCGTCGGCCCAGAGGCAGTCGAAGTGGTGTGGCGCCCAGATTGAGTGCACGAGAAAGAGATAGCACGGTGACACCGACCAGTCGATCACTTCGACCGAAACAGTAGTCTTTCACGGCTNTCACGGCTAAATGTAACTCATACCATTCGGGATCACCTTGATTTGAGAGGAAACTGAATTTGGGGAAGAAGGTGGGAAAAAAGTGAATGTATGATTTTTGGAGACAGCTGGAGTAGAAGACCTTGTTGGGAAATTAAGTGTCCAGCAACAGAGGTCGGATGAAATCAAAGAGCAAAATAAATCGTCCAAACTATTCATCCGCATTGCGAGCTAAAGGGTTTAAGTGAAAAGGTACCAAGAGGAACCTGGTAGACACTACAAAAAGTTGAACCGAGAATTTCTGATGATGTTCTGTCCTTCTGGAGAGGATGCTGATTCGAGAGTAATTTGGGTGTCTACCATGGTGCAAAATTTTATCTTGTATCGACCGAGATCGCTAATTCACACTAATCGCATTCAGTTTGGTCCATAGCCAACACAACAAGCAAGGGTTAAAGGGTGAAACGTTTTCAGTCGGATCGTAAAAGTCCAGTTTTCAACTGAAATCACCCCGTTTTCACAACATAAAGTTGAGGCAATCCTCAATGCAAACAGCCCGAAAGTTACTCATTCCAATCAGATATTCAGACGGCCCAAATTCACCAAATTTTAATTGCTTGACAGGTGACAAAAATAAAACCATTTCCCACGAACACAAAAGCTGTTGTGCGTTTGCAAGCAGTTGCGTTCAGTCATTCAAATAGAAACCGATTGTACTGGCCTGTGCAGATTCACTGGATACAAAGAATTGTTGTATATGGGTGAGACCTCTAAAACCCTATTATCAATCGGGGTTGGAAAGTCTCATGAGATGTAATAATGAAACGCTTGCACATATCATACTATCGCTGTTGAATAGGCAAGGAAAAGATACAGGATTTTGTGGACTAGCTTGCAAATCCCCGACTGGACAAAACAAACACAGATCACTACCGACGAAGAAATAGTTATTCGCTGTCATTGGGTCAACAAATGGGAAACTATCCACTGTGCTCGTCATCGGTATTTCATCCCCCATGATACTTTGGTATCGATCGAGCAGGTCATCAGATCAGTGTCTCCAAGTTCGCGCCTTCAAAGTTCTTCGAAACTAGTAAAACCCTCCGCTTGAAATGATCAGTTAGGGGTAGCAGACTGCGTTGTTTATCCCGGGGCCTATATAACAAGTGATGATGTTCTTGGGGACGGAATATCAGTGTACATAGAAATATTCACGGTGGGGCTCACCATAAGAAGGCATTTGTGGCCTCAGCACGATTTCTCTCGCTCTCTCTGGAGAGACTGTTGCACAACGCTAGAATTCAAATTAGTTTATTGTACTGTTGCCAGACTTGATTTCCAGTCTCGAGGATGCGCAGTATTTTCCAGTATTCGATGATCTTTGCATCCAAATATTGCTCTTGTCTGCGGACAACATAACGTGAGTTATGACGAGGTCCAACGATGAGTTCAGATGTCTTCCAACTGAAGTGAATACATTACACCATCAAACGGGGATTGAACTCAAACTACGGATTCCCGTTCACTGCCTTCGTATCGATCGTCATTTGTTGCGGTAAGTCAACACCCGGATTTTAGGATATGAAGAAGTTGAGTTCAGCATCGGTCTTGGGTCGTTCTTCGCGATTCCACAACTGAGACACAATGTTAAATTTTGCTGGTTAAAATCCCCGAGGAGTATAGTTGGAAAATTGAGGGGACTGTTATAAAAGGCTACTGTGTATTCTAACTACCCCCTTTCAAACAAAGTCTAATCGATGAACCACAAAGCTTGGTATTCAACTTTCTCAGGAAACCACAAACTACCACCCAAAAGAAATACACCTAGCTGTGGCTGTTCAACAAGACTTAATCTGGTCGATCGACTAAACAATAGCGTCATTCGCGGCTCTAGAGAGTGTCAGTTTACGAGCCTGGAATCCACCGGAACGTTATTGCAAGGTTTTGAAACGTCCATGGAGTAAAAACAAGAATTCGGTCATTGGAATGTACTCAAATATTTAGACAGGGAGAGACCGCTTGGTATCCGCAAATTCTCGCAGGCTTGATTTTAGTGCACCGAGCACTGCAGAACACGAACCACACGTGTAGACCACTGCATACATCACTGTCAGCAGACAGCCGTTCAAGCTGGTGCTCGAAAAATATGAACTAACGTGCGGGACTCAATTCCTCACCACCAGAACGTGAACCACTTGGAACTACCGCATCGTGTTGTGTGTGCACCAGCAGTTTTCTTTATATCAAGCCCCACCTTGATGAAAAATTGGCAACCATTTTAGTAAAACATGAGTAAACCAACGCAAATCAGTGAAATAAGTTTACACAATGGGAGCACTTTCATGTGCTCATACCTGTGTGTCACAATCCTCTCTCGAACAGATCGTCTACCACGCATCTGGGGCAAATAAATGCGTCCTCTGGTAAATAATTCTCAGCGTTAAAAAACGTGAACGTCATGTGCAAACGGTAGACAGGATAGCAACCATTGCACAATGCGTATGGCACAAAACATGAGGTAAAATCGACACCATCACGAATTTTATTGTGATTATTACCTTACCATCCATTTTCGGGCCATGTTGTTACCTTGCCTGTGACTAGCTGGTAATGTTAAATTGTATTGAAATTCGCCAGCTCCATCCGCACTCAACCATTTTACCCTCAATTCGATGGGAACATCAGATTGGTCGGGGATCGCATTTCTGCACACCAGTGTTATGTATGTCATATATCAAATAAATGGAGATTTGTTACGTGCAGAAAGAAAATCGGGGGCTAAAAAAATCAGATCAGAAACCTCAGTATTGACTAAAATCGCTAACACATACTCACCCCATCCTAACCACATTTTATAGCCCAGGTCTGCACACGTAAATCATTATCATCATCATCTGTGATGCGGGAACAGAATCGAACTGTACCGTTTGCCGCATCCAGATCCCAGATTCGATGGTGCATCGGGTATTCATTATGAGAGAATGTAAAAATAAAAATGATTTCATTTAGTTTGGTTTGAACAGCCGCCTTGGAGAATGCGTTTATGTTTAACTCTATCCACCTTCAGTTTGTTTAATTTCTTGGTGCTCAAAATCACTAATCAACGAAATAGAGGAGTCCCCATAAACTCAGACTGGCTCACTTTCAGGAGTCACACACGTTAATCGATATTGCACGAAAAGCTTGTGAATTGGTACTTCACAGATTTCGTCCCAATAGGTTTCCACCAAACAGGAAGGCAAAGCAAACAGCACTTACAAGGCAAATGTTTCATTGAAAGCGGGCATGGTAGTCACAGACTTAGATTTCGTGGCGGCCTTTCGCTTTCGATCGGTCAATAAGGGGCCAAAAATAAACACCTCAACAAACGGCCGGAACACGCCGGTTGTCAGAGACCAATCCAAATCGGAAGCCGTGTGAACTGGATGGGTGGAGCGGTAAAAAAATGCGACAAAGGAACACATCAATTATGCAAAAACCATTGGGAAAAAACGAAAAAATCTGCTTCGATTGTTTTTGCATTCGACTGGAAGTAACGTTACATTCATTGATTTCAATTTTTCCGGACAGACCACGCGGGATGCGAAATATTCGAACGGATATGAACAGTCATTATTATTATCAAAGCATGAACGCAATAAAACATCAATTTTACCTGTAGTGTATAGATTTTACCTAAACATTGAACAACACCACTTGAACTCAACCAACTGCAAAAGAGCTAAAAAAAGAGTTATAAAGCAATTTCCGGCCCTGTAGGATCACAGGGGTTGTTTGAAACACCAACCATCGAAGCCTGGATCAGAGGATCTCAACAACTACTATCATTGTAGGGTGAAATATTCCCAGCCGGCACAATGAAAGCACAAAAGTATGAGCGACGAATTGCCACACCGCAGTCTGTTCGGTGGGGTAAATCGGTGTCCGCTCGGCGATCAATCAAAATGTCACCACTGACCAGATGCGCTACAGTCTAAGGCCAATCGGGGACTAAACTGGTTCAAATGTGTTAAACGCATTTTCCTGCTGGTCGTCAGAAGGACACATAGCGGAAAACAACAACAACACGGGGGGAGGGGGAGGGGGGGAACAAAAATCAAGTGAAGTGGACTAACCTTTAACGTTCACCTTGTATTCACCTGTGCCAGGATGTTTAAATATTTCCACCTGGATAGTTAAAAAGCCAACAGGATCCTCGTTGGCATAGGAGTCTGTGCGGGGAAAAAACAGAAAGTTTGATATATATGTATTTAACATCGCCTTGAGAACAAGCATGGTGCCAACACCACAACAATATTAACAATAACAATAACGCGGCGGGGGGAGGGTTGGGATACAGAATATGGGGAAAGAGAAGTAACTGTCAGACCTCAGGGTTATCATAGGAGGACAAGAGTGAACAGTGGTTCAGCAGAGTCATATCAGTTTCATGAAAACGTGCTATTTATGTACCGGATATCAAGTATTCCGGGTGCATGCGGGACTCAGTATTGCAGGTGAAGTTTATTCGAACTTTTTAGACCACTAATAAAATGTCATATGGAAGACTTATCAACAACACCATACATCATGAACACAGATGAACCAAAAACAGACACAATTTCTTCGTCTCGCTTTCTTATCTTTTCAGGAACATTCACCAGTAAAGCTGTAAACAACAGTTTACAGTTCCCCCGGGATCCTCATCAAACGGTCAGCTAAGGTTAAAACTCGGCTGACACCACTATTAGACAACTTGGCTGAACAGTTTTATTAGAAAATGCTTAGAAGTTGTAAGCAATGCCCAACAGAGAAGTGAAGTAGGGGTACATGGTTTACATCCAGAATGTGTGTCGGAAAGCAACCTTCGTTTTGGAGATCTTCCCGTTTCCCGTTCGATGTACGTGCTAAATGAAGTCACTGCATTTGGATTGTGCATCCCAGCCCTTACGGAAGAGTCACACAGCTCAACATATTGAACACCGAACAATGAATGAGATGGATGACCTCAATCGAAAATTCATGGTGGTGGTGGTGGTGGACAGACCCAGACCACAGCATGTTACCCAACTGTTTATAAAATTGGAATAACTCGTGATGCAACACAGATCAAAGGGTTAAGCACTGTTCGAACTACACTCTTAAGTGAAACTCATCAGCCTTCCTCACAGACTATTCCGCTGAAGGGGATTCGTCTTGTCTTGTTTTCAGGTCTCTAATATCGACCATTATATTTTCGATTGTTTTAACAATCAAGCGAAACTGGAAACCCCAAGTTGCTGTACAACTATTATCACAGTTTTTCTATGCTAATTCAACGTATCCCGTCGTACTCAGAACACAGCAAAGTGAATAAGTATGTTATGCCTGACTCTTGTGGTCCTATCGATTTTTTCTCCATGCCCTCACCAACAAACTGTGACGGTGATCGGATCACACGTTTACCCATTCGGCACTGCTGTTTTGTGTGTAGCAAAGATGAGAGAACTTACGTACTTAGCTGCTTGACCCAGATTAGTACGTGGGTATTTCATGCATCGCTTGTGAGTTCTTTGGCGGGAGCGAACGGTGTGGATGTTACCTACTACTAGCCTGGAAATGTAAGTTAGACCTCAAACATGCTGAAATGTGTGTGTAGCCTATTTTTGGCTAAGGCACTCGATCCAAACAGAATGATCCGTGAGTGTTTCTCCAGCAGTATCCAATTATCACCTTGCATGCGAGTGTGGTCTGTCAAACCTTATTCATATCTCCGGGGACTGACGCTTAGGTTACCAAAATATCGCTCACACTGAGTGGGAAGTCGAATTTGTTGAACGATAGACCCAAAGGCATACAATCACTCGGGACAGACAAATAATTGTAACCATGGAAATACGTGTCAACGAAGTAAACCTAGTATCAGTCCTCCTTTCGACAGTAAATCTGTCGAAGGACGATCTTAGCATAATAGTACAGACTGATAAGGGTGATCGAAACCACCAGTTCGGTGATAATCAGATGCGTTGATCACGTGATTCCATGCCCTCATAGATCACAATTATCACATTTCTTGAAAACCATGGGGAAGTGGANGTGGATCTGCTTTTCTGAGACTATTCATTGTTTCATTTGCTTTTAAACGATGGAGACGAACATATGATACCAAAATTAATGATGAAAAAAGACGAACACCGGGAGTAGATTGAGTTTCAGGTCAACTCACCCTGAGCCGTTTGTATGGCAACAAAATCGCGTAGCAATTCGTCTGTGGCTTTCGNAGCCAAAACTTGTCGTAAACTGTGCAGTTCCGGACTTCGATCAAGAAATGATCGTTTTAGCCCCCGACCCCCGGCATGGAAATAAGTTCGAATGGTATCCAAACAGAGATCCAGGAGTTCACACTGATATGGGGTCAGTCCACGATCCGGTTCTTTAGCGACATCCTGTTGGATGGCGATTAAATCGAAGAGAAGCCAAGATGATTAAACGCAGCTGAACGACAGTTGACAAACAGGCCGGTAAATCAGATTGAAAGAGTTTCCTTATGTTGAAGTAAGAGCCCGTGTATTTTTTTAATAGGACCATCTTTTGCCATTCCTTGGCGTAAAAAGTAGAGCGACATTCGCCTGGGCAGGGAAAAACGGTCCTTCGAAGTTATCTGGTGTATGGTTAGCACGCAACAGTGGGGATCAACGCAGAAGCTATTTTGGAAAGGACGATCAATTCATTTCAACTGGCCGTTAAATCTGTTGTTTGCTCATCTCTTGTTTCATAACCCAAATTATACTCTTGGTGACTATCACCCATACGAGTCTCTGCAGTGACTGATAGTAGTGGGGGGGGGATTGGCTTAAACTAGCAAAATGATAATTGATAATTACAACCGAAAAGCAAGCAGAAACTCTTCAGAAAAAGCAGGTTTTCGGCAGTTTGTCGTAGTAGCAGACAATCCACACAAAGAACAACAGTAGCATGTGCCTAGAGGTGAGAAGAAAGTTTACAACGAAATAATCTGGAACGATTTTAGCACGGGAAGTGGATTTTGTTGCTGATGTGTTCTCCGAGTAGTAAGTGTTGTTCGTAAACGTTTCGTAGCCAGGCTAGCCAACATCATCCCCAAAGTTTCACTGATGATGTTGCCTAACTCGACTACGAACAACACTTCCAGTTCGGAGAACACACACACCCCAATAACAAGCTTACGAGTTGCAGTGGTATTTCAAAACTCCGGTCTCGAATGCACCCACGCTGGTTTTTACAATACAATATATATTGCACAATATATGAAGGAGTAAATTTCATAATCATGGAGATTACCGCACAATGCGGATAAGGGAATATTTTTCCAAAACACAAATTGTTGACTTGGTGTTTGAAAACAAAACAACAAGGCAGAAGTAAACAAAGAATAATGAAGAGCGTTCCTTAATTCCGCCATTCTTAGAAAGAGGAGATTCTAAGGCAACGGTTTCGACAGGCTAACTGAATTGCCTTGTAAGGATGGGGCATTGCAGCGGTGATCTGGTGGGGAGTGACAGTTCTGCGCAGAACTACGGACGCAGATCGCCCATTTGGCAATCTTTGTTCTGCACGCAGTGTATGGCAACTATGAACAACAACTAAACACCGGGCTCCAAGAGAGTTGTAAACATTGTGTGTACCGGGTTAATTCGTACAACCAAATAGAATCAATCTGGGCGGATGTCCACTGGGTGGGATAGTTGCTTGTTGTAAGTAGATTTCGGGGATGCTGTGAAGGTGTGTTGTTGGTCTCCAACAAGAGTTTGAGAAAAATTCGCGGCTTTCCCCATTCACTCTGCATGAAGGATGCTTTGACATATCAAAGTTTGCAGTAATCAGGGAAATTTTAATTAACAATCAAGGCGATCATGCAACAAAAACAACAAAAACATGTACCCATGGTAACGACACTGTGGGGTTCTTGGCAGACCCTTTGTGAGTCACTACAATCAGATTCTGAAACAGTTACAGAGTAACAGTGTGTCTAGTTCACGGTTCGGTCCATTCCATCTCCGATTACGAAATATAACAACTAAGCTACTCGTTTATTTAAAATTCCTAATGAATCTGACGATTTCCTAAGGGAACGTGCCACGGGCACACAAAGTTGACTAAATTATGAATCTAAGCAATGGGGACAAGTAAATTATCATAGACACTAGGGTTCCACAGTAGAAACATCAAGTTTTAGTAGGTATGTGATAATCAAGAAGTCTCATGTACGAGTAAAAAAGGAGATTTGGACTAACTGTATAGACGAGATCGATGTATGAATGATGCTTCTGCGGTGACAAAATCTTGAGTTATTCCAGAAACTGAAACAGTCAATTTGATTGAATTTTTATGTGAAAGCCACATCATACTTGCTGTATCGCCACGAAAAACCAGACGTACTAACGAAGCCTCCGTTCATCTCCCTCATGTATAGTGTCCTCTTTCAGAACGAGAGCAACGGAATCCTACTAACCACTCAAGAGTGGTATCCATCCATATAATGAGTTAACCAAGGCCCATGGACACGAATTACGCACCAGTTACAACAAACAGGCGCATGCTGAGGATGCGTGTTCAATCTGGCCGTTTTGTCATCAGTGACCGAACACTGAATTCGACCAAGAACAGAGCGTAGCCATCTCTCTGGGGGAAAAAGGTGCAGCTCTGAATAATCTGTCAAGCAGCGTCTTTATGTTACTCAGTCAAAAATGTTTTGCGTGAGTCAGGAATATCATAGATTAGTGGTGGAACAGGTACTGCACTCTAGTTTATTAACTGACGCGATAAACGAATGTAGTTAAAATACCAATAAATATTTGAATTGATGGTGAGCGATGAAAATGTAGCTCAACTAATCAAAGGGTGCGCCTGAACAAGTCAACTGCAATCGGCCAAAACTACCTGACCACTTTTCGGCCGGTTTGTAGCCGGGTTTCGATCTACAGTTAGTAAAGTAAAACAACAAAATTGGGATATTTCAAAGCGTCAACATTCGTGTTTGTGCAATAACAAGATAACTAACTATGACTGGTTGGATGTTATACAACAACTCATCACTCGTACCACAGTTGGGCATGAGTACCATCGGTTTGGTTAGCTTTTGTCCGCTTTCTCTTTGATCCAGACCATTCCATCTGGCAAGATTCACCCTGCGGCTGGTTCATGTGGTAAACAAGAGAGAAATGCCTTGCTGTGGACCTCAGGATCAAGCTAATCAATGAGGATTAGAGACAATGTACAATAATATTATACGGTGCAACTATTCGCTCCCTGATCAAATCTATAGTTCAATTGCCTTTGACTTCCTCGCTCTCTCCCCATTGGTCAGTTGATCAAACGGATCCGAAGAAGACAGAAACCGAAAACCATTGCGAGTGAAAGGCTGTGAAAATTGATGCGGGTGATGTGATTAGGATAAATAATTGCTCGTGGACAAATTCAACTTACCTGAAGTATTTTCCCGGTGACAACTTGTCCTCCCACGTGACTGAGCAAATTTTGCGCGCCTCCAATTAATTTGGCCGAAGTGTTCGCACTGAGCAATGTCCCAACGGCAAGCTAGATGGAGGGAATATCGTGAGAACACTGTCATTTGCATCATTACACCGAATATTCTAGGCGTTCACGTGATTCGACGGAAGATGGCAATCAATCAAGTGGGGGCATTTGAGAACATTATCGAATGTCATCGACCTGAAAAGTTTTCGTTTTTCGGATAAGAGACAATGATGAACTGATTTTGAGACATTTCACTTTGTTTTGCTGCTCTACTGTCAATCAGATGAGATTTGCCTCGCATATAATTTACCAAATATGAATGAAACAGTTAGAAACAGAACGGACTGAGCGAAGGGGACAGGTAATGAAATGGTTCTTGCAACTGTTCTCTACACGACCGAAGGAAGATGGAGGACTTGGCAAGCGTAACCATAAGAGCACTGTAGCATTTTCTCTTGNGTCTACCTTTACTGTATCAATTCCCACAAGAAAACGTCAAATTTGGAACCGTTTCAATTCAAATTCACAATTTTAACAATTCTTGCAGATAGCAAACTGCCGCACTGCTGTACGTACCCCTAGAAACATTGTTCCCTATTACGTCTTCTCTTCGTATAGAATGATGTAATCCAAGGTACATTACCACGGTTGAAGTTGATTACGACTTTCATAAATTAATAACAATCACACACTTCAAAGTAAATTCCATGATGGTCAGTTAACAAATAAATAATTAGGAGAACAACTTCCATTTGATTTTCTGGCAATCACTAATAATCACAAAGTTCAATCAAAACATTGGAACAAAAGAAACCATTTAATCACGGCAACATTAATCATGATGAGGTAAATAAAACAACTTGCCAAACCACAAAATGGACAAACCCATGTGTGCAAAGAAGCTATTCAGTTGGAAATTACTCCGGATTTGTAAGATAACTGTTTGTTTACTCACATCATTACTCATTCTGTCATTTGGAAAAAAGACTATCAAATCAAGATGAGTCATTTGACAGCAACTCTGAACATCTATAGACACTTCCAGGTGAAGCTCAGTTGATCTCGCAGTGGACTACAACGTCCGCTTAAGTGTTTTTGGAAACCCCGGGTCTATAGATTTTGAGCCTCGCACATTTGGATTCCTTAGTTCTCCGCATGCTGGTGCATTTAAAGTGCAATGTAATTTTATTTAGATACTTGCTTTGTTCTTACTGGGTGGAACTCGTCAGCAATACCCCGGCGGGGATACAATCCCCGAAACCAGATTTCTGTGAATTTGCCCGGACAATGTCGCTTGGGGCGATACGGTTCCGCAACTCTCACGAATGATAATGAAGAAGATAACGAAATACAGCTGATTTCATTACAGATGATAACAGCAACAACAACGATAACTTACTTGTTTCGGATCGGACACTGTAGGGAGAACGACCAGTTTCTCCAGATTGCACATGGTGATTCTCCAAAGTTGCTGAAAAAGACATTTGGATTGAGCGGCCGGGGTAAGAAATTAGAAACAATTTGTTCCTGTTCTCTACGTACCACCTCAATCAGTCAAGTGCCGACATCTTAAGAACAGCTTTGATTCCATTACAGCTCGAAAGATTACATTTTACCGAGAGAGAAACGTTCAAGACCACTGTTTCCTCTTTGGAACAAACATGAGCACACACGCACAGTACGAGAGAAGAAGAGGCACGACGGTAGCCGAGGAACCAGATCAGTATCCTCGACTGCTCTTTGGCACCTGGATAATCAACAGGTTAAACTGGATCAGAGAGTTGAGAGAAGTAAGTTGACCTGTTACGCTGTTATGTTGATCTAGTCCGGGGGGGGGGGGGGGNACAGTCGAAACAATCATTCCCACGCACGAGTGAAAACAGAAATGCAAGAAAGAACAGATTCCTTGGCGATGGGCGGGATCCTTTTGCGTACATGAGAGAAGCATAAGACTTAATTTATTTAGATACTACACAATTCGGAAAATCTCTTACCATTTGTGGTCATCACTTTGACTCAGAAGAACACTGCAATGGTGAAGTTCAACCTAATCTGATTACAAGCAATCGAGTACTTTGCCCAAAATAACGCTTTTGTAGTGTTGTTTTATTCTTTGTGTTACATTGCACGGGAAACCGAATCGTGTTTGCGTATTACGAATAAAAGGCAAGATGACCGAGACGTATGGATGTGAAAGTAGTATATTGTGATACTTAAAGTAGTCACAGATGACGAATCAAGAATCACGGACACCACGGAAACACTAAATCGCACTAGCACTTGCACGCCGGTATCTCACGTAACCAAGACGTAAGAAGTAGCAGTTCTTTTATTGGAAGAAATCAAGGGGATTAAATAACATGTATAAAGGAAGTCTACTGGTTATCCAGGTATCCACCAATGGCGTGCTTATATTCTTGACGTTATACACCTTTTGTCCGGACCACACGACTTCTGATTGGTAAGCACGATCGGCTTGTGGTTCGTTGTCCAGAAACTGAAATGTGTAGGCGCTTGGCTGGGGTCATCTGGGAAGGTTGACTCACCACAGTTGTCTTGAAACTGTTACGCGTCGCTCCGTGGCTGGCGTTATCCCGTGTGCTAGGATCACCACATACATGCGCTCACGTATACAGTTCATTACAGTTAAACCAGACCGGGAACCAAAGATACACCGAACTGACGGTGGTGATAGTGCAGTGGTTTAGTCGTTGTCACCGGTGTGCTTTGAACCCTATGCTGCGAGGCTCGAACTCCTCCACCACCACGTAACTTTGGTGATCAGTAGCTTTGCTGTTGTGAGGTTCAATACTACACCTAACCTAGCGGAGTATTACATGGTTCACCACTCCAAGTCCCGGAGCTTAGGCTAACGGTTTTCATCATTGAACAGCAGATCTTCGTGGCTACGGGATTCACCCCGTCTACTGTTCATCACAAACCTGTGTGTGATAAGGCGAGTATAGCCAGTTTCGTCTATGTTAGGATATGGAGTGGACTACCAGATCCCAGTATCACTTTTGAGGTTGCGGTGCCTTGAGTCATAGATAGGCCTCTGTGATAAACAGTAGATCTCTAAGAGTACATAGCTATGACCTGAAATGAATGTCTAAATACCTTGGTCAGGATACTTGGTCTTTAATCTTACCGGTTGAGGACTTTGTGATCAGCTCAGTCAATGGTTAGAGAAACTGGGCGACATGTTAGGTTATTGTAGACTGTGATGCCGTTTCGTCTATCAGGGTCATACACATATATTATCCGTTTATCTATATTTTCAATCTTGCTATTACTCCTCCTTTTTCGGCCAGTCAGACGGTTAACTTCACAGCTGCGTCAGCTCAATGTCGATTTTGTCAGTTCAGAAACCAACAAGAAGCGAAACACAACCAGGGAAAACCTAGTTAGAGCACATTCGTTTTGAAGATGTTCCGGGCTCATGAGCACGCCTCTTTTCAAGTCGATCAAATGAAGCTGTGTGCGCATGGGGTCACGTGGTCAATTGATCGGATCACATGCACGAGTGATAAACTGTCGGTAATTGAGAAGAATGACTAGTTCACAATTTCAAGCCAGATCACATTTGGTGGGACGTTGACATGCAATTATCGAGACAAAGTCCGTTAAACAAACAAACCAATGAACTCGGTAAAGTTTTGGTAAATGTAAAATCACTTCTTCTTCCTCCTCCTTCTTTTTCTTCTTTGCTATTTAGAAAAATAGGATGCATACTGCATCGTTTGTCTGATGAGAGGAAAACGGTGATGGTGGTGCATGGGGGGGGGGGGGAAGGAAGGGGCTGGGGTAAAGATGGTCAAAGAGAATAAACAAAAGTAAAAGCTTAGCGGTTGAAAGAATTCGTAAGTAGGTCGAGCGAAGACCTGCATGAACTGTTTACGGATTGACTTACCTTCAGTACCCGTTTGAGAACTGTCTTATCACACGTGTTGGCCAGCACAGACAGAATAGATTCGAAATGATCCATTAGCGGTCGCAAACATTCATTTGCCTCATCTTCTTTGTTCGCCCGTTGATTGGTCGAATGATTCCCGTAAGCCGGTTTGCACTGAGTGGAATGTAATCACGAAAGCATGTGTGTGTGTGCATTAATCAGAACGGGGGTAGAGACAAAATAAATGGGGTCACTCTCTTTTCACCTTCCAAATGCAGGCGAACAAAAGCTAAAGTTTGCTTCGCTACTGTTGCCAAATAACAACCGCCATCGATTTCAAGTCGAGTGAACGGTATCCACATACACACCCTACTAGTGGCCTTAATCGGTAGTAACAAATAATAGCGTTATTTTGTTTTAATTACAAAACAACCAACATGATGGTAATCCCAATGCTTTCGGGGACAATTCCATGCCCTGTTCGCAATGAAATTTGATCCTTCTTAATTTCACTCGCCTTTCTGAATGTGGCAATTTGCACGTTTATTTTGAACGCTTGCCATCAATGTCATATAGGGGCGACGTGAGTTTGAAAATTAGGAAAGAGCATGTTAGAATTTTGCATTTTAAATGTCCCTGTCTTGAAACTTCTATCTTTTCCGTGCAGGGACATCCTCAGGGCACATCTGAATTGCCCGATCGATACCGATTATCCGGTAAATTTTGAATATAGCATTGATTATTGTCTTTTAATTTGATCGTGATTTTTTCAAAGTCTAAAGTTTGTTTTGAAATCGAACAATGCTGTATTTTAGTGGATAGGGTATATGCTTAATCGAAAATTCTCTAGACCTGGTGAGCGTGTTTTCTTCAGCGGATTTCAACTTGTCTTTGTGTTTAACCATACCATTTCGAGAACTGCAAATGCTTTTAGCTACTACAAACCCACCATGCGCGTGTATTCTCATTGCTTGTTGAAAGTGAGAAAGGTAGGAATTGAAGGTAACTTTTTTATTTGCAACCCGACCTACATCCCGACATCGATTTCCGCGCCCACCAACGGTTTAATTAGTCCGGTCACGAAATCCCACGCACACGAATACGGAATGCTTTCGGCTGGCTAATGTGGCCCAACGTTCTGTGATTTGCAAATAGGGTCGAACTGGAATTTGTTCCAGTCTTCCCCTTTTTCCTATATGCCTAGATACTTATTGCAATAAAGATAAAATGCCTCTAGCATGTGTCCATTGTTTAAATAATGACGACTGATTACTACCTTTAGTGTATCTGGACTTCATCAAAGCTCTTCTATTGCCTTTATCTCATTATCCTTTTATTTCAACTGGAGGTTCAATCAGACCTTCACCTACTGTGTACTTCCTTACCTTTTTGAGCTCGCATAGACCTCTCCATACCCACCCACCCGCACACCAAAATGGATACACACACACACTTACAAACAGTCAGTCCATCCCATTTGCTTTTCATAGTTTACACCAATCAGAGTTTTGCCAACTAAAACCGGTTTCTTTCAAAGTAACAAACAAGGATCAACTGTTTGTCGGTTCCCCGAAAACACGATCCTCGTTGTTCCAATCCCCGTTTTCCGATTCCCAATTAGTCTGGTACTCAGGAGGGGTACATCATTTTCCCGTGTTCTTTTTTTCGCTAAAGTGGTAGTTCCAAGCTGGCCCATGATTTAAATAAAAGGCACGCAATCCAGTTAATGTTCAATACTCACCAATCACATTCTCCATAATATAGTCACCTTTGTGGTACGTGACATGTGGGCACCACCATGGTTTGTACCATGTCCAGCGCACAAGAGGCTGTCCAATAATGTTTGATCTACCCGATTAATTGACTCGATCACCACTGAGTGGTTGATATATTTCTTTTCATACATAGATGATCAAAGTTGTTTCGTTTGAGAGCAAACGAAAGGCGACTGCTTTTTCAATCTCTAATCAGTGTACTGTTTATTATCTACCATTTCTCATGGGTCCTGTTCTGATGTATCAATCAGTTCACCCGCACTTGAGCTGTCTACAACTTTTACGAGCGGCATCTCATCTGTTAGAGTGGATCAAACGTGAGTGATCAAACGGAACTTTGGTAGTGATTTTATATTTGGCACAGCCTCAGCGATTTATTATTTCACATCTTTCTGATTTCCCCTAACGGAATAAAGAATACCATCGCAAATAATCGATGACAGATGAATGGACGAAGTACACGAAGTACACAGAATACGAAGTCTGAGAAAATAATCAAATAGATAAAAAAAACGTGTCAACAAACAGATTAACATAGATACACGGGTACAGACGTACATCAAAACAAAGAAAATTCAGACAGCCAGCCAGCCAGCCAGCCAGCCAGCCAGCCAGCC